CAAGTTGGAGGTGAGAAGTTCACTGCCAACTTGCTGAGAAGATCTGAATGTTTGACCCGTGTGAGTGCCTTTGTCAAGATGTCAGCTAGTTGAGCGGAGGTGGAGATGTGATGCAGTTCAAGTAGCCCCTCCTGTATCTTGTCCCGGACAAAGTGGCAATCCACTTAGATATACTTTGTCCTTTCATGGAATACAGGGTTTCTTGTAATATGTACAACTGCCTGACTATCACAGAACACTGTTCAGTTATGGGATTGGCACACATGACTGTCAATTCTTCGAGCAGCCTCTTCACCCATATCAATTCACCAACAACCTTCCTGATTGACCTATATTCTGCTTCTGCAGAAGACAATAAAATAGTAGTTTTTTTCTTTGACTTCCAACTGATAGGGTTGTTCCCAAGTAGCACAACGTACCCACTCACAGACTTTCTTGAATCAGGGCAAGCAGCCCAATCTGAGTCACAGTACGTACTGAAAGTATAGTTAGGATCATTGGATAGAAAAATTTCCAAAGTAGGATCTTTCTTCAAGTATCTGAGAACATGTATATCAGCCTTTAAATGGGGTTCTCTTGGTGTCTTCATAAACTGGCTCAAGTGTTGAACACTATAGGCTATGTCCAATCTAGTATTTGTCAGAAAGTTTAGTTTCCCAACTAGTTTCCTGTAATACCCTCGATCAGACAGTAAGGCTCCATCTTCACTCCTCAGTTTGATGGTAGAGTCAAGTGGAGAGCTGACAGGAGAGTATGTCAAGCAATCATACTCCTTTAGTAGATCCATAGTAAACTTTTCCTGGCAAATTAGTACTTCATCTGTCTTATACAACATCTCTAGTCCCAAGAAGTAATGTAACTTCCCAAGATCCTTTATCTTGAATTGGTTATGTGAGAATACCTTCAATTCTTTGATTTCCTCAAAATTGGTCCCAATAACAATCACATCATCCACATATACGGCTACAAAGACTGTTGAAGTCCTATGTTTCTTGTAGAATAATGAGTAATCACTAGTTGAGTGCATGAACCCCCTAGAATGCAGGGACTCTGTCAACTTATAATAACATTGCCTGCTAGCCTGTTTTAGACCATATAGTGACTTCCTAAGCATGCATACTAGATTTCCATTAGGCACCATCAGTACCTTTGGAACCTCAATATACACTTCTTCATGTAGATCCCCATGAAGAAATGCATGGTTTAAATCTGGTTGGTAGAGGCCCCATACTCTCTTTACTGCAATGTTGATCAATGTTCTGACTGTGGTCATTTTTTACCACTGGTGAAAAAGTCTCTGTATAATCAATTCCTGCTTCTTGTGTGTATCCTTTCACCACTAGCCTTGCTTTGAATCTTTCCACACTTCCATAAGCCTTATGTTTGATCTTGTATACCCACTTACAACCTATAGCTTTCTTACCTGCAGGTAGATCAACTAAATCCCAAGTATGGTTAGCATATAAAGCTTCAAATTCCTGTGTTATTGCCACTTTCCATGCAGGATTCATGGATGCCTCCTCATAAGAAGATGGCTCACAATCATGTAAAATATTTCTAAGCAATTGCTGACTTTCAGAATGTAAGACAATGAGAGAAAAATGTTGTTTACTGTTACAAAATGTATTGAATGATGTAGGAGTAATGTGATGTTCAGGTTCTGTGTCATGATGTTGGAGGGTTGGTAAGGAATACACATAATCTTTGAGGTGTGTAGGAGTTGTATGTGTTCTGCCTGATCTTCTAGGTTGTGAGGGATTTGTTTGTAAGGGATTTGATTGAGAACTATTAGTCTCAATGCCTTGAGACTCAACATGTTGCATCTGTGTGGGTGGTTGAAGAACATGGCTATTTTCTAGAGATATGTGTGAGCTTGGCATACCATGGTTAGATGTTGTTGGATTAAGTGAAGAAAGAGGTGCAACATTGTTTGATACATGGCTATTGGTGACAGAAATTGATGCATCCCTATCATACAGGGTACAATTATTGAGAGTCCCAGAAGTAGAATGAGTACAAGGTGGATTAGAGTTCATTAGATGTAATATAGAAGGAAAGCTGGAATTTTCAGGTGAAACTGCAAAAGAAAAAATATTTTCATGGAACACTACATCTCTAGATATATGTATTCTCTTTGTGGCCAGATCTAGGACCTTGTAACCCTTTGTACCAAAGGGATAACCTACAAATACATGAGGTGTGGCTCTTGGTTCAAACTTATATTTGTGAGGTTTTAGTACACAAAGATGACCAACTTTGTCACGACCCAAAATCCTAACCTGTCGTGATGGCGCCTATCTCAGTACTAGGCAAACCGACAACATCAATAACCCATAATTTACTTTAAATTTAAAAACGTAACATTTAATACAATACCAAAGATCTAGCAATTTCCGATACAACGCCCCCAAAACCTGGTGTCACTGAGTACATGAGCATCTAATATGAGTACAAGTCTTGAAAATATGGTCTATAATAGTCTGAGACCAAATATAGTAAACAAGGAGATAGAGAAGGAGAGACAAGGTCTGCGGAACGCGACAGCTACTTCACAATCTCATGAAAATTAACCGCGCGAAAGGATCAACACCCGCTATGTCCGGGAACACTTGGATCTGCACATGAAGTGCAGGGTGTAGTATGAGTACAACCAACTCAGCAAGTAACAATAATAAATAAGGAACTGAAGATAGTAACGAGATACACAATTATGGTTCATTTTCAGTAATTCCAGCAAAGAATAGACATGCTATCAAATCTGGCAGTTTAATGTCAAATCAATTTTTATACAGTTCTTGTTCATGTAATCCGTATATTAATAATCTTTCAGATATTTCACAACAATGACAGATAGCAACTAAGTGCAACAACAAATGGAAATCAAGTACAACAACTTAGGACAACAATCACTCACTGGGCTCCCAACCCTCATCACTCACTCTCAATGGGTACCCGCGCTCACTAGGGGTGTACAGACTCTAGAGGGGCTCCTATAGCCCAAGCGCTATAATCTACACGGAAAAGTCACGTGCTGCACGGATAACTCACGTGCTGCACGGATAACTCACGTGCCATAATATAAATATCTGGATCTGCACGGTCAACTTACGTGCTGCACGGCCAACTCACGTGCTATAGTATAATATAAGGATCCGCACGGCCAACTCACGTGCTGCACGGATAACTTACGTGCTATAGTATCAATATTTCACAATCAGTCCCTCATCCTCACTCAGTCATAAATCTCTCTAGTCTCTCGGGCTCTCAATAATCATGAAATCAGCTCAAACAACAATGATATGATGTATCAATAATAATAACAGAGACTGAGATAAAATGTGCAAGTAACAATTGAGACTGAGTACATATAACATTTAGCAGGCAATTCAACAAGTACGTGACCTCTGTGGGTCTCAACAGTACTATCACATAGCCTAAGCATGACTTCTAGCATGATTTACAATTAATTTTTATCAACACATAGAGAGCATATAGCTAACAACAAATTATTCAACTTTATAGTTTCCCGGTACGGACCAAGTCACAATCTCTTTGGTGCACGCCCACACGCCTATCACCTAGCATGTGCGTCACCTCCAAAATAATCACATGATACCAAAATCCGGGGTTTCATACCCTCAGGACCAGATTTAAAACTGTTACTTACCTTAGAGCATGAAATTCTTTACTCTGCTATGCATTTGCCTCGCAAATCGGCCTCCGAATGCCTCAAATCTAGTCACAAATAATTCGATTCTGTCAATACCAATTATTGTAATTAATTCCATAAGGAGATACTAATTTTTCTAATAAAATCCAAAACTAACTCAAAATTTGCTCATGGGGACCATATATTGGAACCCGACAAAAGTTACAGAATATGAATGCTCATCCAACCACGAGTCCAACCATATAAATTTCACCAAAATCTGACACCAACTCGACCCTCAAATCTTCAATTAAAGTCTATGAAGAGTTCTACCATTTTTAACACAATCCTTACCCATTTGAACTTAACAATCTTTCCACAACCTTATTGGTATGTATACATGATACTCTACACCTAAGAATCATACTATTAATTATCCATCTTTACTCCAAACCCGAAATTAAAGAATTAGGGAAATAAATTCTTACCTCCTTGAAGCCCTAGCAAGATCCTTGTGAAATCTTCAAACTTTGAACAAGAATTTATGGATAAATGACTAAGTCTTCACTTTCTCTCTCTAAACTGCTCTCACCTCTCTCTAAAATATCAGATTTTGGCTAAAAAATAAGCTTCAAGGGCTATAAATTGAAGTTGGGTCGGGTCAAAAATTAGAATGAATGGAAGCTCTGACGCAGTTATGCGATCGCATAACAGGTATGCGGATCGCATATCCGCCGCATAATTTGGCCTCCAAAGCTGGGTGTTACTGACCCGGTCTGCGGTTACTATGCGGCCCGTATACTTGTTCTGCAGTTGCATAATGCACCACAAAATAGTTCTGCGGTCGCATAGTGCACCGCAGATTTTCCTAAAATCTTGCCCCTCTCCTGATCCACTTTGCGACCATTATGCGGTCCGTAGAGTAATTCTGCGACCGCATAGTGGTCACAGAAATGACCTTTTTCCGACAAAATTTTCCTTAACACATCAGTGCATTGTTCAACCCAAAAGTCCGAGCCGCGAGAAATTTCTATAATCTTTATACTAATTGATCTGCCTCGGCACCACCAAACCTTAATTTCCTTAGCAAAATTCCTCTGGGGTCGTTACACATTAGTTAACATCCGGTCAACCTTTTCAACTTAAATTTAAAACCTTGAAACTAAGTGCTCCAAATCATTTCAAAAGCTCACTGGACCCAAACCAATTACCCCGGCAAGCCAAATAACAACTGTAATTCATAATTTGAGCAGTAAATAGGGGAATGGGATTGCAATAGTCAAAATGACTGGCCGGGTCGTTACATTCTCCCCCTCTTAAACAAACGTTCATCCTCGAATGGGTTTAGAATCATACCTGGAGTCTCAAATAGATGTGGATATTTGCTCCGCATCTCCTGCTCAATCTCCCAAGTAGCTTCTCCGGCTGACTAGCCTCACCACTGCACCTTCATCGAAGCTATGTTCTTTGATCTCATCTTTCGAACCTGTCGGTCTAAAATGGCCACCGGTTCCACATCATATGCCAAATTACCGTCCAGCTGCACTGTATTAAAATCCAAAATATGAGACGGATCCCCGACATACTTTCAGAGCATGTATACATGGAACACTGGATGAACACCTGATAGACTGGGTGGCAAGGCAAGTTCATAAGCCACTTCTCCAATTTTCTTAAGTATCTTAAAAGGCCCAATATACCGAGGGCTTAACGTTCCGTTCTTCCCAAACCTCAAAATACCCTTCATGGGTGAAATCTTGAGCAAAACCTTCTCCCCAACCATGTGAACAACATCACGAACCTTCATGTTGGCATAACTCTTCTGTCTAGACTGTGCCGTGCGAAGCCGTTCCTGAATTACTTTAACCTTCTCTAAAGCATCCTGAACCAAGTCAGTACCCAATAGTCTAACCTCACCAGGCTCAAACCAACCTACCGAAGACCGACACTGTCTCCCATATAAAGCTTCATACAGAGCCATCTGAATGCTTGACTGGTAGCTATTATTGTAAGCAAACTCTACGAGTGGCAGAAATTGATCCCAAGAACCCCCAAAATCAATGACACAAGCACATAGCATATCCACCAATATCTGAATAGTGCGCTCGGACTGTCCGTCCATCTGAGGGTGAAATATTTTACTCAACTGAACCTATGTGCCCAATTCTCGCTGCACTGCCCTCCAACACTGTGAGGTAAACTGCCTACCCCGATATGAAATAATGGACACCAGTACATAGTGTAGGTGAACAATCTCGCGAATATAAATCCCAGCCAACTGCTCCGAAGAATAATTAGTACCGACTGGAATAAAATGCGCAGATTTGGTCAACCGATCTACTATCACCCAAACAACATCAAACTTTATCAAAGTCTGTGGGAGTTCAACTACGAAGTCCATGGTAATACTCTCTTACTTCCACTACGGAATTTCAAGTCTCTATAGCAATCCGCCCGGTCTCTGGTGCTCGTACTTTACCTGTTGACAATTT